ATTACTATGGATCATATTCCTATTAAATGTGACAATACTAGTGCTATCAATCTCACTAAAAATCCCATCCAACATTCTCGCACCAAGCACATAGAAATTAGGCACCATTTTATTAGGGATCATGTTGCTAATGGTGATATTGATTTATTATTTGTGGACACTAAAAATCAATTAGCTGATATTTTTACAAAACCTCTTGATCGTGATAGGTTTCTCTTCATTAAAAATGAGCTTGGTATGTTAGATCCTAGTGCTTGATATGATTCTTGAAATTAATGAATTTGCTTATTAAAATTTGTGTATATTGATGCTTTGATTTGTATATCTTGATCATATTCATGCTATTTGATGATGCATTCATTGATATATGACTAAAGTTACATTATCTAGTAGTTGATGTCCAATTTAAACTTAGTTAAATGAAGAAATATCAATTAAGGTGCATTTCCTTCAAAACAGCCCCAAACTTTCTGTTTGTTCCAATCAAGCCCAGTAGAGCTGGCTCTACCCTTTCCACAGCCGGCTCAACCAAAAACCCGAGAGTGTTCTCTCTCTAGACCACAGCCGGCTCTAGGTTTACAGCCGGCTCAACCCAGAAAACCTGAGAGTCTTCTCTCTCTAAACCACAGCCGGCTCTACAATTATAGCCGGCTCTCCTGCAGATTTTTAAGGCTCGGGTTTCTCTCTCTCCTCACACAAACAAGTCAGATCTGTTTCATTTTCTCCCCAAACCCGCGACCTCTCCTCTCCCAAATCTCGCCATTCACTGTCCCAAACACCCAAATCCCTCCAAATCTCCAAAACCCATCCCTTAAACACTCAAAAACCATCAAATCCTTGCCTACCCAACACAAATCCACAAGCTTTTTGCTCCAATTTTCATTAGGTTTTGCTGAGTTTTCTCTCTCATGGCTTCAAGAAGGGCTGGAAGTAAAAGGAGACAAGTGGGTAGTTCTAGTGCCGGTGGTCAAGCACAAGCGGAAGGTAACATCCCACAATCAAATCTCTTTTTGGATACCCAAGCCTCTGCACAGTATGATATTATCAAGAATATGGCTGTTTTATCTTGCAATTGTGTCAAATTCAGTCAATTTCCTCAAGGAGATATGCGTATTGAGCAAATTTTTAGGGAACTTGGATGGAAGAATTATATAGAACTTAAAGAGCCTGTGTATTATGAAGTTGTTCATCAATTTTATGCAAATCTGAAACCAAGAGGGAATAGATGCAAAACTATGGTTGCTGGGGTATCATTTCAGTTTACACCAAAGGATATTTGTGCTGTATTAGCTATACCTGAAGGAGGAGATGATGAATTTCTAGATGTGAATCATGCTGTAGTTAGAGCCACAATTGCCCCCAATTGCACTGAAAATCAAATTAAAGTGGGGTTTCTTTCACCAGAAAATAGAGCATTGC